AAACTCCTTTCTGCGTTAATTTCCTCATATTTAACATTGCCGGCCTCACAAGTGCCTTAGTATTACCACCGATTGTAAATTGTCCGCCAATCCGTTCATAAACTTAATTCAAAATCTCGGACGATTAAACATTGATAAAGGGTTTCCGATTTTCTTTGAGAGAGTAATAAGGACAGGCCCTTTTTGGGAGCTGTTTCATTATAATCCGCTTTTATCGCCTAAATCCTTCTTATTGACTCGTTTTTCGAGTCAGTGCCCACTAAAATGAGTTAAATCACTGTAAAATGAGAATGAGGTAATTAGAAAACGATGTAGTGAAAGAGAGCCAGATACAGAGCTATGTTGGTAATCGATTAATTTCAAATATTTTCAAATGCTGTGAAGTGTTATAAATGGAATAACTTCATTTTAAATCCATTAGCACTATCAACTTGATGTATACAAATAAAATGGAGATATTGCATTAGGGCCAAAGTTAACGACTCGTTTGTGTAAAGCTCGATTCTTTACTACTGTATTTATGCTTAAAAATGAAAATGTATTCGTGAGGTGTTTTCCGTATTAAAAGATGTGAACTTTACGGTAATAACTCGTTCGTTTTATCTAATTCCTTAAATTACATTGAAGCTGCGGTAAAATAGTCATGAAATGTTACTTCTTTCCCGGAAGTGTCTTCATGTATTAAGTTCTATTTCCGGCGCCACTTTGTCCAATATTAGTCTATGCCAGCATACTTTTTTCAACAGCCTCATGTTAAATTCAATACTTTGGTAATGAAGATTTGCTAAATCTGTCGAATACGAGCTCAAAATAACACGTTTTTCTCGTGCAATAACGTTGTTAACGGGAATGTGTGAGATTCGAACTCTTAATGAGTTTTACGACATGGTTTCGTCATTTTATTGACATCCCGTTTCTCTAACTTCAAATGTCCGTCACGGTTGCGTCTAATTCCGTTTCCTCTGTAATTAGAGTAATTAAACAAAGTGGTAGAGTTAATTACTTAATTGTACTGACAAATAAAAATCATTTGGTGCTTATTTTCATCAATAATTCAGAAAATACGTTACCGTAAATTGGTCGCATAAATATTCGATTAAAACGTGACACTTTCCAACGATTGGCTTTAACACCGTGAATTCGTACACTATGGTTGTAATTAGCACCGATTGTTTATTTTTACGACATAATGCGAACATAACATCACTTAGAGATGTCGTTTGGTCGAGAAAGAAATGATGCACGACACCTTTTTGTAGGTCACCTGCATTTTTACAGCTAGATATTTGACTAATCATAATTCAGATCGTCTGCAAAATGTGTATGCTACTAATTAGGAAGTAATTAAATTTGTCACGCTTGTTTGTATGCTTTTAATTCCTATCGATATTTTATTGTAGTTTTGACTTAACAGAGACAATGTGAAGGTCACGACAGCTCATTGTCAAAGTTAATTGCAGTTTGATGTTGTAGTGTTTTGCTGTATTGTTGTTGTTGTTGTTGTTGTTGTTGCTGCTGCTGCTTGTCGTTTTGTTGATGTTGTTTTGTTTGTTAGTTGTGTTGTTGTTTGTTGTTGTTGTTTTAATTATTTGGTCTTGCTTCTGTGCTGTTGTTGTATGTTGCTGCTGTTGTTGTTGTTGTTGCTGCTGATGCTGAACATATGCTTAGCGTTAGATTGTACAGTTAAGTTTCTTTATTGAATATACTGATATGGGCCTGATATGTATTTATATTGTTGAAATTTTCAATCAAATGAAATGAAATAAAACTTTCTGATCTTTTCTAGTCCATTTAGTCATCTATGTTCATAAAAACATTAACAATTCATTCTAATATATGAGCATGCTATATGTATAATTCATGATGTTCAGTTCAAGGTTATATCGTCCTATGGCACATGTGCCCGAGAGCTGGCTAAAACTGAGCTATGTAGAGAAGTTGGTAGCTACTTGCGGAAAGCCTATTCAGTGAGCCAGCAGGCGGTAAGTATCAGTTTGCTGGTACATGACAGGCGATACAACAACCCAATATCCATATAGAGAAAGAATGATATAGATGAAGAGTATTAGGCTCCTACACAACAGGTCATTGGTTCGAATACCATTTATGGTGAAACTCTCTTATGACATTCACAATCAACATTGGTAATATTCCTGGTCACAACACCAAGGGAATATTGTTATTCATTTGAGCCGCGTCATGACAAAACCAACATAATGGGTTTGAATCCGCGCAGTCTGATCAGGATCCATGCTGTTCGCTATCAGTTTCTCTACTTGTAATAGGGTTTGTAAGCGAACAGCATGGATCCTGATCAGACTGTGCGGATGCGCAGGCTGGTCTGGATCCATGCTGGTCGCAAACCCATTATGTTGGTTTTGTCATGACGCGGCTCAAGTGAATTACAATATTCCCTTGGTGAAAGTATCAACGGACAGACATAAAGTGAAACCATGACTAGTATATGAATATCTCTGCATTTATCTTAAATTGCACGCGCGGTATGATATATTAGCATTACTAAACGTGTACATACATGTGCATATTTGCATAATAAATTGCGTGACATGTTGCACACATGTACATATTTGCATAATAAGTTGGTCTACAGGTTTGTGTATTAATTTCACTAATGTCAATTAAATTAAAGTAAATTGTTTTACATGAAATTAAAGGGATTTTAATATTCTGTGTTTGCCAACTTTTAACTTTTAAGTGAATATCAAACCACGCTAGATTTCCCACAGTGTCACTTAAGATAATTAACAAATTAGTATAAATACCATTTATTTCGCATCCTGCCAAGAAATCTTCATTAAATATTTATATTTAAATGGACGTGTTCCAGGTAAAAAAAACAAATCTGTCAGAATTTCTAAGAGAGATCGATTCTTTTACTCGTCACAGATAATTAGATGAAATAAATTTAACAGAACAAACATGTTATTTCAGATCATTGCATCGCCATGTTAATAATAATAATATACACACTATTTTATTTTACAAATAATTTTTACATCATTGACCAGACGTATGCCATTTGTTTATGTGAGCCATAATATATCCGGAACCAGAACTCAGTGACCTTTAGCCTGCTTGTCTCAATATATTTCAACCACGTGACTAGTGCCGACCAATGCCAGTCAGCACGTCCGTACTGTGTGATCATGGTCTGCACTGTCAATCAGTAGTCAATCAGTAAATATTTGAACCGCGTCACGACAAAACCAACATAATGGGTTTACGACCAGCATGGATCCAGACCAGCCTGCGCATCCGCGAAGTCTGATCAGGATCCATGCTGTTCGCAGTCAGTTTCTCTGCTTGTAATAGGGTTGGTAAGCGAACAGCATGGATCCTGATCAGACTGCGCGGATGTGCAGGCTGGTCTCAGGATCAGACTGCGCGGATGCGCAAGCTGGTCTGGATCCATGTTGGTCGCAAACCCATTATGTTGGGTTTGTCATGACGCGGCTCATTTTTGATGGATGGTTTTGTCCAGATTGAAAGAAGGAGGACAAGTCTATTTAAGATATTTGGTGTGGTAATGGATAATATTGACACCTTGACTAAGGGTGATCTGTGCGTGGATTGGTCACTACCCCTAACCCCCATCCAATCATTCACAAATAACTGCAGTGTTGTTTTTAATTTTCATGTTACATGCGAGAGAATATTACATGTATATATACATATACATGTATATATTATGTATATATTATGTATATATATAATGGGACAATATTTCTTTCATTAAAAATACATATATATATATATTTATATTTGGTAAATATATATCTTTTTTCTTTTACTTTTTTTTTAATGAAAGAAATGTTATCACCATCATATTTATAATAATTAAACCCATTGTTACATAAAAAACACTGATTGTCCGGGAAATGTTGGGGTTATAGAGTTGGGCTGGGGGTAGTGACCATTCAGCGCATCGAACACCTGTGAGCTTGACCACCATGGTCTCTAAATACCAATATTTCTGCCCAAGTCCAATGCTTCGCCAATTCCGCATTTCAATGTCAGTAGCCTGGTTAGAAAATCATGATAGAACCTAAAGCAAGAGACCTAAAGAATATCTTGTTGTCGTCGTATGTTAAACACTATTATTTTATTTTAGAAAATTTCCATGGAACACATAAGTCTATGACTGCCGCCATATTTTCTTCACTAACATCAGTACCGTACAGATCACAATTTATATGCAAATATAATTTTAGTAACTAAAAACGAATTATTTTTGCGCCAAGAGCTTTTGATTTTCTTTTTATAAAAATACTAAAACAGTAGATATCGGCCTATAGAAAATGGTATACATTGTACTTTAAATGTATTGTCAAAGCTTTTAAGTTTTCGTGCACTCTTGTTTCAAGTCAAAATTCTGTAACATTTCAGTGATCATGCAACGCTAAATGAAGGAGATACAGATTAAGTTAATCGTACTTTTTTGTATTTTTTTTATTTTTATTAATTTTTTTTATTTTTTTTTTTTTTTTTTTTTTTTGGTCTTCTGTACTTCTTCTTACCCCGACGGTTCTGTTCTGTTTGGTTCTTTTCCCTGTGTACATGAAGAGTTATCTCATATCAATATTTGCTTAACGGTTTTTACGAACAATCAATTCAATTCCTTACCAGTTTTATAATGCAGGAAACTGGCTCTTACCATCTCCTTTTAACATGAAATTAGATTAAATTTAATCTACTTAAGGAAATGGCCAAAAGTAATTAGAAATCTTGTTTTTTCAATTAACGGAACAACTTCTATTCGATTTGTTTCCTCGTACAGTTAAGGTACATAAATATTAGTATTCGGATGCTATTGATATCTAAATTCTCAGTTAAATGTGAAATAACCTACTTGATCACCGTGAAATCTGTATGATAAACAGAAAATAAACATCACTTCAAATCTATATAAATATTTTAGGGATTTTCGGTAAAATTAGCTGTAGGGGTGAATAAATACGCAAATCAAAGAGAAGATTAGACGGTTTTAGACAAATATATTTTACAGCTGGTAAATTTTGTAAACAGTTACAATAACAAATATACAAATACTCTCAATAACAAATCATTTTGGTACTCGTTTTCTAAATTAAGCCGTTTAATAAAAAACGAAATCCAATTGCCTTAATGTCGTTTACCGGAAGTTGAGCATGCGCAGTGATCGACATTTAAAACAGATCATTAGATTTTGTACAAGATGGTGCAAGGTCAGTCTTGAAGAGCGTCGCTTAATCAATTTTTTTATCCACTATTAAATATTGATTTGTTTATGGTTTTATTTATTGAAAGAAATAAAAACATCTGTCTAATAATGATTGAAGCCCTTGCTTTGAATTAAACAAATAAAAAATCAATTTTTAAAATAATAATGGTTACCCTACGTAATAAAAACGCAAACTTACAAAAAAAGTCTTTTGCAACCAAATTATCTGAAATTAATCAACTCTTGTGAAAATACATGAATTATAAAAGCCTATTTTTCATTACTAGATTGCGATTCATTAGAACATTTTCAACAGAAGTCTTTAAATATTAATTATCGACCTTAAAGGCCAATAGAACGGTATTTTGATATCAATTAAGGAAATAAATTTAAACAGTTTAATGGTTTAATGATTATCATATGACATGTTCTTTTCCATTTTACCGGCGAAGAAAATCGAACGAGACGCCATCAGTCAGTTAAATTTTGAATTCAAAACAGATGGTATTAATATAATACATCTCCTGTGTGATAAAATAGTATAAATAATCATAGTGTATTATGTAATAAAACAAAATGTAGTTATTTCAAGGAAGAAATTAATACAGCACGTGCGTCAGGCTATAAGTGAAAACAATGTAACCACATAGTCCACAATCTTGATATATACACGTGCAAAATGGAAGACACTATTGAATAAGTTAAATTATCTATTCAAAATTACTAAGATATCTTAACTTCAGAAAGCAAAAATAATACACAGGAAAAAACACAAATATGGCATTGATAAATGTCTGTTAGTTTTCTTTTGCAATTGGCATATCTTACACGTTTCTTTACATGAAAATAATTAATATCACTTATCCGAATATAGTGTTATATCCGAAATTTCACATTTTATGGATGAATTGATAGTGCTGTTGTTATCTCGACTGGGATAGATATGAATAATATAGTGGGTGTTTCTGGTCAAGGTATGCTGGATGTGCTTTTAATAATCCAAGAGCCCCACTTAGATGTGGTGCCGACAAATATGGATGCAAAGCCTGTCCGTAAAATAAACCAGAATAAGGGGAGGTCAGTGATGCCAAACTTCCGGTTGATGGCGGAAGTGTTGGACTGTTAACATCCATTCCAGGATTCTGCTTCTTCCATTTTGTTCTTCTGTTTTGGAACCAAATTTTAACTTGAGTTTCTGTTAGATTTAATGCTAACGCAAGGTTCAATCTCTCACATACAGAGAGATATCGTGTTGTTTTAAATTTGTTTTCTAACGCTACCAACTGTTCGTACGTGAACGCTGTCCGTGCCCGGCGAGGTTTGCCATGTTTTGAGGAGTCAGATAACTTTCCTTTCATTTCGTTGCCGTCTGCTGTGTCCATGTCACTTACTTCACTACAAGCGCCATCTATATCATCTCCGTGATGATCATGGTCACAACTTGAGTCAAGGTCACATTCTGAAAATACATGATACAGTCCATAGATTCTACGATTGACAGTGACATACTTTAATAATTTATTCTTATCTTTTTGCAATTATTGGACGTCCGTGGCCGAGCGGTTAAGTTCGTTGACTTAAAACCACTTGCCTCTCGCCGCTTTAGATTCTCTAGGCACTTTGAATTATTTCATGTGAGAAAGCTATCCAGCTAGCTCGCGAAACGTCGGTTGTTCTGTTCAGGTGCAAGCTCGCCTTAAAAGTGCAAGGAAGGGTCACTTGAGATCTTCCCCGCCAGTAATACTGGAAAGTCGCCATAGTACGACCATTTCAGTTTTGGTGCGTGACTTAAACTCAGAAATAAAACGATAAATCGTATTGCATTTTGTAGCACATGTGTGCCTTCCCAGGTTTTTGTTTACCATGATAAGATTCATTGAGTTGTTGTGTATACAAAGACATTAATACATCCGGTGGTTGAATTTATGCTATTACCGTGCAAATTTTCAAGTATAATCATAAATTGAAAGGTTGCCCTCTTCCACCTAATTTGATATGTTGGCAGAGAATACCGTATATCAAACGTATTCTATCATGTCTGGCTTACACTTAGCATGTAGGTAATTGTAATCTAATCTTTGGAGAAAGACATAGGCCCATTTGGGTTCCAAGGTAACAGAGTGGCCGCTTGACTCAATTAGTCAACAACTTGGACTAATTACTTATGAAAAATTGATGGACTTCTTTCGGGAGTTCAGACGTAACTCTACGCGACAAGTTATATGAGATGATCGTCACCCGAACTATGTCTGTAATTGAATTGAATAATTTAGTAAAAGAAAGCAGTCCTTTCCATCGCACACTTATACAATTACAAGAAATATTGATGTCCATTAGTCGTCGCGGAGTGATACACTATCACACCGCCATGACAGACTCAACTGTCACATATTCCTACGCGTTCTAAACATACAGGCTGAGCGATCGTACACGCTATTCGACGACAGACATATTACGTTTCGTAATTAGGGCTTAAAATTGTTCCCTAATTTAATTTTGTTCCTTTTTGGTCGAATTTTAATTGCAGTCGGGTCATAAATTAACACCCGGGTCTCTTTAATTGTATTTAACAAGAGATTACGGCGTCTGGCAAGGACTGCGTTGACAAGCGATGGTGTTGAGACTGGTTCACGACAAATGTTTTCATACATTTTCTTTACCAGAGCCGTGATATTAGCTTCTTTTACTTCTTTCAAATGTGTTTCAAATGCTTTACGTAATTGGCTAAGCAACTTAAAATGGATGCCGTATCTTAATTTGTCAACTATAATTATCCGAAATTACTGCAAAAAGACGCTATAAAGTCCAATTGATGCGGTTTTAGTAATGGGTAAACAGAAATTTAGAAAATTAAAATTTACACTTTGTGAAGAATTAGTCTGGGACTAGATGTCTCAATGCACTTAAAAATGTCCTTTTTTACTTAATATTGACTTAAATTGGGCCAGATTTTAACATCTTTCCAAAAATACGAGAATAGAATATAATTATGTATACACGAAGATAAAATTTAATCTGCTTAAACAATACTTACAAGTGATGCTTAAGTAAAATTTATACTTGTCTAGAAATTCTTCTTTTAATGGTTCTTGTCAGAGAAAGAATTTAAAGATAGAAATATAGAAGAAAAAAATGTATAAAAAAACAATTTCAGAAATAACAGCAAACGTCATAATTTCAATTATTTCGGTAGCGCTTTCAATTGAGTATATCATCAGCCAAGTTTGGAATATTTCTGCATTTATTTTATCTACTGAAATAAAAATTACAGCTTCATGTGTTGTAGAAATTTTGTATTGTTTATGTGTAAATGTATAGGTAACAAGTATATCGCGATTTTTCAAGATATGTTGCATTACAACACAACAGATCTTATGAAATTAACGTTGCATTTGTCTTATGGTCTTACAATTCATTTGTCTTTGTATATTGACAAAGCATGTGTCTTATGAAATTAAAAATGCATTTCTCCTTCGATATTAAAATACATTTGTCTTATGAAATTAAAAATGCATTTATTTTTTATATTAATAAGCATTTGTCTTATTTTATAAATGCTTTTGTAATATGCTATTTACAATGCATTTGTCTTGTGGAATAAACAATGTATCTGTCTATTAAATATATTGAATATACATTTGTCTTATGAAATTAAACAAAAAACATTTGTCTTATTACATGAAAAATACATTTGTCTTTTATATTAACAGTACATTTGCTTTAAAGTATAATCAATGCATTTGTCTTATGAATACATAAAATACGTTTTTCTTATGAAATCAAAATTGCATTTATATTAACAAGTTATTCGTCTTATGAAATTAGCAATACATTCGTCTAATGATATAAACAAAACATTTGTCCTCTGATATTAATACAACATGTGTCTTCTTATATTAAAAAAGCATTTGTCTTATGACATTATCAATACATTTGCCCCTATTAAGTTAACAATACATTTGCCATTATTATTATATTATCAATACATTTGTCCTATGATATCAACAATATATATTTGTCTTATGAAATTAACTATCAATTGTCTTTTATATTAACACTTTATTTGTCTAATGATACTAACAGTACATTTACCTTTTATTTGTCTTATGAAATTAACAATACCTCTGTCTTTTACATTAACAATACATTTGTCTTTCATATTAACAATGTATTTATTTTATGATATTAACAAAACAGTTGTCTTATGAAATTAACAATACATTTGTCTTATGAAGTTAACAATCAATTGTCTTTTATATCATCAATATATTTGTCTTATTACATTAACAAAACATTTGTTTTTTATATTAACAATGCATTTGTCTTATGAAATTAACAATACATTTGTCTTACTATATTACCAATCCAATTGTCTTTTATATTTCAAAAACGATTAGTTTTATAAAATTAACAATACATTTGTCTTATTATATTAACAAAACATTTGTTTTTTTTATATTAACAATGCATTTGTCTTATTATATTAACAATACAATTGTCTTTTATATTTCAAAAACGATTAGTTTTATAAAATTAACAATACATTTGTCTTATTGTATTAACAAAACATGTGTCTTATTTATATTAACAATGCATTTGTTTTTATATTAATAATGCACGTGTCTTATAATATTAACAATAAACGTGTCTTATAATATAAACAATGCACTTATCTTAGGATGGTGATGTTGCGTAAGTCTTAACCGTACAATTTGGACAATTCTTATTTAAATTGTGTTTTACAAATGATTATTTTTAATGTTATGTAAAGTATGAAACAACGTGGATCTACAAGCACTTTTATATAATTATAACAGTAGTAAAATAGATGTTACCTAGATCGTAAATTACTAAATTTACGGAAATTGTTTTATCTATGCAACAAAATGTGACCCTAGTCCGTCAATTTATTTCTCAAAATTTTGCATATTTACAACAATTTGCTGCAGCCAATACTGTTTTTAAATGCATATGAACTATTTTCGTCTGTAATCTATTTATGATTCAGCATAGCCCATACCTTATATATAAAAAATATTATGAAACACCTTGAAGAAGTCACTCCTGTAGAAATCTGACTTATTAAGTACTACACGTTTTAAAAAAAAGCAACATTATTTATTCGTGAAACACATACATTCTTTTATGAAAAAAAATACGTTTTACATAATTTTCAAAATAATGTCATTATTACATACAAATATTGCATGTTACGATGAAATCTATTTTTCAGGTGCAAACTAATGTTTCCTCAGCCAGTAATTACAAACAAACTATCAACTCATCTAAAAACTCTCAATTTTGTAATAAAATAATTAAGAATAATCTAGTAAACGTTTCTCGTGCGTTTTGACGCCATTTCCTTGCGTGCGAAATTTTCGTGATTTTATGATAGTACCATATTAAGACAAACTCGCTCATTAAAGAAATTATCCCCGAGGTGAGGACGCAACCAAATGCTTAAGTGTGCAGTATAATTTTCATTTGATATTTCAAGTTAACATGTCATAATTAAGATTTTCGGCTTTGTTAATTAGCCGCGTGTCAAAATTCGCCTGATGAAAATTGATAGGCACTAAAATGCAATGTTTTAGTTATAATTGTGGTAATTACATTGGTTTTTTTGTTGTTGTTGTTGTTTGTTGTTGTTGTAATCGACAGAGATGATAAAAAGAAATGTGGTGATTTATAAATATAACAAAATTTGGTTTTTTCCCACCCAGGGTCCAAGGGGAAAAAAGCATTTTTTTTGGACCTTATCTAGATCTCGGTTTTTGGTTTGGGCCGGAAAAACCAGCAAGAATGTATTTGCCCAATGAAAATCCTGATTTTTTTGAGACAAATTCAAAAAAAAAGTTTTAATAACTTTAAAGGGAACTGGGCAACTTTTGTTTTAATCGGGAAAAAACCAGCCCAAATTGACCCCAAGGGGATATTTTAGTTGGCTGGGGCTTTGTTTCCATCAACCCCTTTTCCCTTGCTGATGGCGAACTGCCCAGTTTTCGGGTTTTGGGGAAACATTAAAGGGGCCCTCTTTGTTCTTTAGCATAAAATTTTAAGCCTTCCGTAAGCTTCTATTTCTTCTAACATGATATAATTAAAGCTGGGGGATACGAACTGGCAACAAATTAGGGACAGTGATTCAAAACAATGCGCATCGGGCGTTTACAAGTTTTTTTGATTTTTTTTAGCGTAGTAATCATGTTTTGTAGATAGAATAAAAAGATAAAATCTTTTGGGGAAAAAGGGGAAAAGGGGGGGGAAAACAAATGTGTAATGGGGCAGGGAGAAAGGAAGGGAAAAAATGTTGTTTGTTATTCAGTGCTATCTATTTTTCGAAAACAACGTTTAAATAATGTTTAAAAAAGGAAATTTTAACCCCTGAAATTTGGTCGGTTTTTCCTTTGGGTTTATGTGTTTTCAATTTGAAAGGAAAGACTAAATTCTAAGACTTATCATCACTTATTCAAAATCCATCACAAAGTCAAAGTTATTGCGGCCTATAATAGCCAGTCAAAAAAGAATATTCATAAAGACATAAAGGCAAACTGAAAACTGTTGAACAGAATTTATGAATTTATATAAACTTTGTATATGGTAAGGGAAACAAATAAAAGAAAAGAAAAATTGGCAGTTCAAATTTTTAATAAATTTTATTCAACAGTTTCCATTCTAACATGAAAAGTACAACAACAACGCGTATTTCATATCTTTTTTAATTTACATATTTTTTTCTTTTTTTATGTTATATGAAACCTTAGCACACGTCATTAACTATTTAGTAAAGATGCTCTTGTCTTCCCTTCTTCATCAGAGATATGTTAACTTTATATAATTAAGCCGCGCTATGACAAAACCAACATAATGGGTTAACGATCAGCATGGCTCCAGACCAGCCTGCGCATCCGCGCAGTCTGATCTGGATCCATGCTGTTCGCTTACAAACCCTATTACAAGTAGAGAAATTGACAGCGAACAGCATGGATCCTGATCAGAGCGCGCGGATGCGCAGGCTGGTCTGGATCCATGCTGGTCGCAAACCCATTATGTTGGTTTTGTCATGGCGCGGCTCAAATGAAATAAAACTGACTGTGGTTGTTGAAATCTATCCTATATTGTTACAATGGCAAACTATTTGTTATTTTAATTGTTACAGAATTTACATTTACTAGGAATATGAAATATTAGAATGCTAAGTATTAAATTATTTATCAAGTAAGTCATGCCTCATAATGAGTAAAATAAGTCTTAAAAACACTCTAAATCTAAGGAAAATGCCTTTATATTTTTAGATGTGTTTTTATAAATATTTTGGATCCGAATGAGATTTGAAAGTATTATGCAGCTTTATAGAATTTACTAGTTTAATCTAAAAATTCAATCACGTCAATAAAGGAGTAGGAGAATTTTCTGCAGAATTTGAAAAGTGTAAGGTAATTTCTGTGGAGCGCTGATAAACACACCTAATGATACATTTTGATTTAAATTTTTCCGTAAAAACAATCTTATTTTCAGCACATTCAGTTTCATTTTTTTTATTATTAGTATTCATTATTAAAGTTTCAAAAACATTCCCCCGTTTTTTTTTTTTTCTTTACATTTAATTTTTTTTTATTTATTTATTCGTCCTTTTCTTTTTTCATTATTTTTTTCTTGTATTTTTTCTTCTTTATTCATTATTATTTTATTATTATTATTATTATTCAAAAATTTAATCATTTAATCATTCAAAAATTTAATTCAAAAATTTATTTATCCCTTCATTTATTCATTCATTTATCCAATATATTGATTGATTCGTTCTTTTTTCTAATTCTGTCTTTGTTTCTTTTTATTTGTTTGTTTGTTCGTTAAGCTGTTCTTTCTTTCTTTCTTTCATTCATTCACTCATCAATTTATTCAATCATTCATCTGTCTATTTCTAAGACTTCTTTGCATTTTATCCTTGCAAACCACTAACCAAAATTCTTGAAATCTGGCTCGTTTGCTTAAACGCTTCCTAGAGAAATCCAAGCGTTCCCGGGACATTTTTCGTTGTCATGTGGGTGAAGCTGACACGTTATGTCAACAGTTATCAAAACACGTGCTGTATATGAAACGATTATTTTATATCATCGGTAGGTACCCAAATCTTGATTAATTGAAGTTAATTAAAAACCCATCTGTCAAGTTTAAGAAGTCAGTTTTCATCTATTTTTAAACAGATTTGATACTTCCCCAGTACTATTTGTACAAGAAAATTAAAGAGCTTTAACTCTGTGATTTTGCATTAATTTAGTAGAATTTTATTTATTTAAATAATACAATACAATATTCTTTTATTTCTGTAACATTAATAATCTGGAAAAAAAATAGAAATTTAGATATTTTACTGAAACGAATTATAGTCTACACGTCTTTGTCAGATGTGAAAACATTTCATTCTTTTATTTGCTTTTTATTTGTTTATTCCTTTACCCATTTTTGTTGTTATTGTTGTTTTTTGTTTGTTGTTGTTTTTTGTTATTATTTTTACAATAATTGTTTATTAACTCCGGGCAAAAAGCATAAAAATGTGAGGTAAATTGCAAAGAAGAAAATATGTTTACATATGTAGATAAAATTATTAAATTAGTATTTAACAATTACTTTTCATAAATGGACAGATGAAGGTTTATTACTTATAACATACTATAATTCAAAATAAATGTTAAAAAAAATGATAAATTGTAATATAAAGAAGCTTGTTTTTTTCTATAAGGATTCATTGTACTTATTTTAATGACCATATACATGTTATTGAGTATTAGAAAGAGTATGAAAGAAACAATGGAATAATTATATAGGAATATACAAGAATAATATAATATAATAATATATAATATGTAATAATATACATGTATAAGAATTTGCCTGCATTGTATCGTTGTCATAACCTGATTAACATTTCCCCCCAGTAAAAAAACGTGCAATCTCTAAGTTCAACATTTTTAACACAATTTTTATATAAAAGTTCACATACAAATTAAATTAATTTGAGCCGCGTCACGACAAAACCAACATAGTGTCTTTGCGACCAGCATGGATCCAGACCAGCCTGCGCATCCGCGCAGTCTGATCAGGTGCCATGCTGTTCGCTTACCAACTCTTACCAACGAACAGCATGGATCCTGACAGACTGCGCGGATGCGCTGGCTGGTCTGGAACCATGCTGGTCGCAAACCCATTATGTTGGTTTGTCACGGCGCGGCTAATTTATCGTTAAATGACGCCCTGACAAATTTTGATATTAACAGAAGTATTTGGGTAATGACGATATTTTTTTCACAAGAACTCACCGCCTTTGTAGACATATCATAATTTGATTGGGGAGTCGTGTTACACAATTACATGTATCTGTCCTGTACGGTTCTTAAGATTGTTTCACGCTGTATTTAATTGAAATATAACTTCGATTAGATAACATCTGTTCCTCGTAAAATCAAAATATCGTGTCTATGAAAGGATATTGGCTTGTAGGTCTGACATTGTCAGAACAGAAAGCAATTAATCTTCTACATGAATTAGGAGAATTTTCTCTGCTTTTTAAATAAAACATTACCAAAGTGAAACGGACATTTTCAAATTAAGTTGTTTTTTATCGATCTGAAAAGTTGAAGAAAAAGAAATCGATGGAAAAAAAGGCCAGGCAAAACTGGTAATAGTTTTAGTAGGCCCTATTATGATTACAGTAAATTTTGGATATTGAACTAACCTAAATCTTCCCTCAACCTTTCGTCTTCAAGCTCGTCAGCATCATTGTCTTTTCTACTAAGCCATGGGTGGATAACACGTGCTTTGTGACTATTACTCCCGCCATTTTTCGTGGATCCTGTGAACTTTTTTGGATCTAAAATGTCTGAAACTGAAAACGATGTTGTATTTGCTAAAACCGGAGATCTGTTGTTTTGTTCTCGGTGGACAGCGTTGTCATTGGCAGCAATTTCTCTACGATTAGTGTCATCGTTAGGACCTTTTACACATTCTTCTGTTTTCTTTGATTCGAACAGTTTTGAGGACGTTTCGGAAGATTCGAGCAAATCTTCGGCCTCTGACTTCTCGCCGTTCAAATGCTTTTCGTCAAAATGTTGTTTGTACATGTTAATAATGCCCTTTCTATAATCACATTTAAGTCCATTTGAATCGGTTATAGATTTATCCAACTTAGTGTGTTCACCCATACTGTTTTATTGTTCATACAGCATCTGTTTACATTGTATTTGATGAAGTAATTGTTTATATGCTTTATGAAATTTTGCAAAATTTTATAAAACAAAAAAGTATCACGTAGCAATTGTTAAAGTAGCCTAAATTTGTTTTACATTACGCGTATCAAATACACTATTAATGGGCTGTACTTTAACCATCTGCGCATGCCCAGTGGGAGGAGTCTATCAAAAATCCAATTTCCCTCCCACTAAACAACGTCTATATTTCGGATGCTGTCGTTTATTGGCTACCGAAATAATTACTAACATGAGGTATGAAATTAGATATCATTAACTTTCTTTCAATGGATAATCGCTCGTGAATGCTAGAGAATTTCTGGCAAATTGGATATTTATACATGATTGATGAAGTATAGAAGAAAACGAAGAAAAATTGCCTCTGGAAGGTGTTATTAGTCGCGCACACGTTTTGTGGCGATTTTTATGAGCGAGCTAGACTATTAGGGGTGATAAGTGGACCCGATTGACAAACTTTGAGGGGAGTCTCTTTTCTGAACATTAATGGGTTCAGAAGAAATCAAAAATTGAAAAACTTTTCCCGATAAAATATATTAACAAAAACAAACATTTATGTCGTTAATCTATAATTAATTTGCTCTTTAAATTGTTCCTTCTAGTTACTTTAAGTATGATTTTATGTTTTTATTATTTCTTATTTGGTATTAATTTTGGTATTGATGTTCATTTTATTTTGTAATTTTAAGATTTGGTAAAAATAAAAAAAATGCAATTATGATTTAATCGCTTGATATAAAAAAAGGAAAAAAAGATAAAGCAAAAACAATATACGCGAGTTTCGCTTTATTTAATTTAGTTGTTTTAACACGACGTGCAAAAAAAATGAAGCGAAAAACGTTAAAAAAGTCTTTATTCATCTGTTTATCTATTTTTTTTTAAATATCACGAAAACTAACTTTGCTTTACTTTTCATTCTTTCCGTTTTTTTTTTTTGTTTTTTTTTTAGGGAAAATGCGAATTTAAGCACGGCTTGATCCTTGGACGGGAAAAATACAAATTTCTAATTCCGGTAGCAAGCTCGCCAGATGTGCTTTGAAGTGGCTCAAATCGTTTTGATTGGCAATATTTGCCACTTGTACAAACTTATTTGCGAAGTATATCTGTATTTAATTAGTCTCGCAGGGAAAATCATCTTCATAAACAGCGTTTCAATGGGACTTATAGCAGGATCGATTTCTCCCGAGATCTGGACAATCAAAGAAATGTAAATAAGTGATCATCACCAGCTAGTTGTCCTTAAACACGAATTAACGTTTCACGGGATACCGTCATGTTTGTTCTTCGACTGATACTAAAATATTACTGTTTATTTTCCATTTAGACCAAAGAAAGTTGAGTTTGAACATAATTTACTAATCAAAGAGCCCGTTCATTGAGGCTATTAAGATTTGTATAAGGTGTAAACAGTGGTAGAAAGATTTGAATTAATTAAGCATTTATGTACCGTCTTTTTGCTGACATTTTTTTCTTAAATCGCGGGGAGATTTTAATACAAGGAAAATATGTTCTAAATGTTTCAGGATAAAAAATTCAAAGTTCATGGGCGCATTTGTGTAGACAAAACTGCACGATTTAAAAACTGCTTTTAACACTGTTTAAATATAATGTCTATTTGAAACATTCAGATTATTTTTGTTCTTTTTCGCTGTTATTAAATTAATTTAATTCTCATTCAGATTTCTTGGATGAAATATCCTTTATGAACATCTCAAAGTTAGGAATGATTTATTATCATCTTTCAGCCAAAGTCAGGGTACAATCATCACCAATACTAAATCATTATCATCATCATTTTCATAACATTCATTGCCAATATTAAAGTGATTGTTTTCATAAAAAAGTTAACATTTACCTTTTTTCATCTTCTATTATCTGTTCAACTGAATAAAATTTTGAATTTATTTTAATAATTGTTAGTTTTATTTCACCATTTTATTGTGATATAAGAACCTCTCATCCTCACCAAGAAAAATGTGGGAAAAAAACTATTAATTCATGAAATTTATTTTGTTTCTGTTTCTATACCATATTTTTCTCATGGAACGTCTATTTCTTTTTCAGATTGCTTCAATAATAAGGAAATTGACGTCGATAAGCCTAACGGCTTTCCCTAAATTAATTGTAAACACGACTGCAATCTTCTTCTAAAAATGGAAATCTTCAACAATCTGCGGCAATCTATTTTCCCAATTGATCATGCGAGAAATAAATACTTCTTAATTCAGGATAATATTTCTCCTTCAGCAACTTTTCCTCCTAATCCGGCCATTTTTCTCTATTTTCCGTCATTTTCATTTCTATAGGCATTAATACATCTATCCGATTGGCTTAAAAGGTCTCAATGTGCTATCCGTATTAACGGTTTAATTGTTTCCCTTCCGCTGAAAACGATCAATTTCGTTTCTTTGCGAGTTATACACAGAAGCGCGAAAAGTGATAACTTAATAAAACACGATCCGAGTGATCACAATTTAATTAAAATGGTAATGACACCAGATGGAAAAAGAATATTTGCGTTTGTCTTCTTAGCAGAATTTTCCGTTCTGGCGGCAATCGTGGCAAATTAAATACTACTTTCGCGTAACGACAAGCCAGGAACGAGTCGGCTATAGGCCGCTAAATATGGATTTTCGTTGTAAATACCTAATTCAGTTTGAAACAGTGGTGCAAACATTCAATTTTCCGGTAACAACATTATATCGCTCGGGAATTACGGTGATGGGGGATGATTTATTAGATCGCTTTCAAGAAATTTGTAGTATAAGACGAGGATAATAGACAATAAAATGGCCACTGATTGAAAATGATTGAGGTTTCAAGCTACAATAACAGGCATTTTATTATACTTATATAATCCATTACAATTTACATGTCCGTCAAAATTTGAAATTAAATAAAAACAATAGTTAGTACATATGCTCATTTATTTTAATACAATTTGTACATTTTTGACGAAATTCGACAGTAACGGAAAACTAAACGAATATCATTAGATATGCATAGGAGAAAAGTTAATTTTAGTTTACTGCATTATATATACGTATTACGGATTGTAAAAGATATTTAACTCTTTTGAATAGAAATCTTTTAATACCATTAATTTGTTGATACATTAGCAATTTGGCAGTTGACTAATACATCTTTAGGCGGCCAACAAATTGTATTTTAGTCATTTCGGTACAAAGAAACAAATATTTGTAAAGTTCGCAAAGAAAATAAAGTTTTCATATATATAGTCAATGCATATTTTTAGACGTAATGTTTTTACAAAGACCGGACTATGTGGTCTACATGTTTAGAGCACATCATTGCGCCGCATTTTTCGGGATACCGTTAAATGTAAACATTTTGGTAATTTGTTTACATTCCGGGGCGGCGGTAATTAAAGATCTAATACAACAAAGTAATACACATTTAATCTGATTATTGTCCAATAAATCATTGATCGATTATCGATCAAGTGCAATAAGTCAATATTGATTCTCCATGCCGCCACAATTCAGTTCTTTGTCAAGTTTTGACTTTATGCATGCATATAAATAAATGTAAAGATAAAATTCCCAACCATGATTCACGTTCCAGATCAAGAAAATGACTTTCATGATTTAATATTTTCAATAAATAATACAGAAAAAGACACAAATGTGACTAATTCTGTGGTAAAAGTATGAAATCGTCTTGCGTAATTTAATTATTATTAAATATTCGTGCATAGATTGAGTTGTTCATTGGCTATTGCAGTTTGTATATATGTTCATTAAGTAAAATTGTTAGTTTATCATATATATGCCTTTTCTTGTATTTGTCATATTTACATAATATATACATGTATATAAGTATGTATAAACGTTGATTAAAACTTTTCCCAGAAAATGTTATTTGAACTAGTTCAACATTTCTTTATTACATGGAATTTCAAGTAAATATATGCTTGTTCATTAGTATATAAGTATTATCATTATTATTAACTAATGAATTGGCCACGTGGGATTCACTATAACAACAGTTAAAACACTGAAATTAAAAAAGAAACTTTTGTAAAATTGGGACACACGCACTTGCGAGATTCTTTTTTATCTACGAGAGTCCTAAAATAGTGTACGAATTATGATACAAATACATATAACTTGGAGTGAACAAAGTCGTAATTTATAAAAGGTATAACCCGGTGTCACGCGTTTTGATAGAAGTATACGGTTTGGATAAAATTATATACGTTGTAATATTATATTGAATGTTGAAATATTTCTATCATCTTTTTGCAGCAACTTTTAGAGTAAGTAAAGACATAAGTTTAATCATTTCTAACCAACATTCCAAAACAAAACTAAATTCTAATTTCACTACGCATTTTTTCTCAAACTTGGGATGCACGTGAATTTCGTGCTGTTCAACAATATCTGATTTGTTTGAAATATATGCTACAATCGAACGTAAAACATGTAAATTGAAAAGTGGACTAAAAATACATTTGCAACACATTTTCACTCTTTGATATTGCATTTCGCATAAGTTCTAACCTTCCTACCATGTTAACTACGGCTAATCCATTTGCTGTCATAAAACATTTAACCTTTAACCTGCCGGTACCGGAAGTAATCAGCCTTTTGTCACCAGTATATAGTCAGGTCATCCGTGCAGTCTGACCAGGCTCTATACTGTTGGCAGCTAAATTTTTGATATTATTAATTTACGTAGATTGTTACAAATGCAAAGATTGGTGATTCCAATACATAAATTCAAAAAGGTAAAAGGTTAATACAATGCCAGCTATTGACAGCGTGCATATACGATTTTTAGTTTACCGAAAAAAGGACGAGCGACAAAAAAAACACCCTAAACTTATTCGTTTAAATGAACAACATATTTGATAACTGGCGCGGTCTGTACCAGTCATTATGTTTCACTATCGTTGAATGTAAAAATTAATAATAAAAAAAATTGAAAATGTAAACGTATAATTTACAAAATGGTAAAATATAAGATTAGTTGATGCATCGCTTAATAGATAAATATCGTGAGGATATCTTTCCATTAAGCGATGCGGTGTAACCCACTCTGGCAATTAAACATAAAGTTATAATCCCCGAGATAGCACGAGATAGCACGATATAGCACGAGATTTT